GAGCCTGCTGGGACCTGGCCGGGACCTGGCCGGGACCTGCCCGGGATCTTGCCGGGACCTTGCCAGGGTTTTTGCGTTTTTTTTTCTTTTTGTCCAGGGACCCCCAGGGGCGGCCCCGCGCGCGCGAACTAGAAATATTGTTAACCAGTTACCGGAGATCTTAGCACGCCCTTGGCCCGTTGGGCCGGCGAAATTTTGCCTCTTGGGGCCTTTTTGGGAGGCCTCTCGGAGGCATCTTGTGGCATCTTGGAGGCCTCTTGGGCCATCTTGAGGTTGTCTTGGGCGTCTTGCTTCGATCTTGGGGCGACTTGGGGCCCAACTTGACCATTTTCAGGGCTTCTTGGAACCATCTGGGCTCGTTTTGGGGCCCTCGTGGGTGGGGTAGGTCGACGTGACCTGTTCCAGCTGACCCGGGGCCAGCCGGTCCGGGAAGCGATTGGTTTGGGCTTTGGAAGACTTACAATTCTGGCAGCAGCAGCAGCAGCAGCAGCAGCAGCAGCACAGCCCTCTCAGTGCTGCATGAGCCGTGTGGCACTCCATTTTTTTTCAGAGGCACAGTGGTGGACTAAAGTAAAGTAGAGCGAAGCATTGTAGAGTGAGTAGAGTGGATACGGGGAGAGTGGAGCCGAGTATAGTAGAACAGAGTAGAAGTCAAGTAGAGTAGACCAGAGTAGAGTAGAGTAGAGAAGAGTAGGAGTAGAGCTGTGTAGAGCCGAGTAGGTTAGGGTAGGGTATACTAAAGTAGTCTAGCGTCGAGTAGAGTAGAGCATGGTAGATGGTAGAGTCGAGTCTGTCGACAAACGTAGTGTAGAGTAGAGTTGGGCAGTAGAGTAGAGTAGAGTAGAGTAGAGTAGAGTAGACTAGACTAGAGTAGAGTAGAGTAGAGTAGAGTGGGACTAGGGTCGATAATATTAGAGTATGAGTAGAGTAGAGTAGAGTAGAGTAGAGTAGAGTAGAGTAGAATATGCACAGGATTATACTCAACTTCGTCAGGTCGAGCGAGTCAGATGGCACCGCCTAGTCCCGCTCTCCCTCCCATAACAGAATCATCGATCATGGTATGACTTGATATTGGGATTCGAGCGTTCTCCCACTTCGCAAGCGGAAGGCGCTCGTGCGCGGTCCCGCTTCCGACGAGTTGGCGACGGTAAAACCACGCTGGCCGCGCAGGGGCAGGGGCGGCAAAACTTCCGATGGGAGGGGCGACGACGAAGCATGCGTCGCGCTTGTACAGCATTGCCACTCTCGCAAACTATTTTCGCGGCGTACGGGCGAGGTCGGCATTTCGCCCGCTCTCGCGCGGCCCCGCTGCCGCTTTCGCTTTCATGCGCTTCGGCGAACTAGCCCTGCACGCCACTTCCGACCCAACTGCGTACAGAACTTGGGCGAGGGCGACAAGTTGCCCACTCGCGCGGGCACCCCCAAATTGGCGAGTGACAGATACGCGCCGCGTCGAGGCGGGAGCGCCACTTTCAGGTGAAGTCTGCGCGGCGCCGGAGCGAGAGCGACATTTTCGTGCGCTCGCGCGTCGGCGAAAATGCGTGCGACCAATGTGCGCCGCGCCCGAGCGGGAGCTCAATCTTCCAGAAAAGGGAGCGCGGCGCCGAGGCGAGATCGGCATGTGAACCTTTCGCGCGGGATGTGTGCCCCGTCCCGCTCCCGCCGCGCCTTTTTGCAACGTGCACGACGTGATGTCCATGCCGAGCCGAAAGACACGGGCTTTGGCATGTCCTCGCAGGTGGCAGGGCGGGCCCAGAGGTGGGGGCCATCGGCCGGCAGAGGCCCAGAGTGGGAGTATATTGCAACAGAGCGGGCTGCGCGGGTCGGCGCGGGCTGCGCGGGTCGGTCGAGAGGAGGAGGAGGAGGAGGAGGAGGAGGAGGAGGAGGAGGAGGAGGAGGAGGAGGAGGAGGAGGAGGAGGAGGAGGAGGAGGAGGAGGAGGAGGAGGAGAGGAGGAGGAGGAGGAGGAGGAGGAGGGGGAGGGGGAGGGGGAGGGGGAGGGGGAGGAGGATAGAGTAGAGTAGGGTAGATGGTGGAGTAGGGTCGGACAGAGTAGGGTAGAGTAGAGTGGAGTAGAGTCCACCCCAGTCCTGTCCAGTCTACTCTAGTTCAGGCGATTTTGGTCCGCTCCAGTCCACCTCATTTCAGTCTTCTGAGCTATTTGGAGTTTGCACTAGCTGAGATTTATCGTATTCCTGATCCTGCTCCTATATCCAAGGTTCAAATTCCAGTTCCAAGGCAAACGCCTACTTCATACGAAGTCCAACTCCAACTCTTATGCTTCCGGTCTTACGCCGACTCCTGTTCCTACTCTTGCTCCTGCACAGAGTATCGCCCCAACTCCAACTGCTCCTCCTACTTCTCTCATGCTTAGGCTGGTGCTCCTGCTCTTCCTCCTCCGTCCACTCCTGCTCCTACTCCTGTCCCGGCAATTTACCCGCTCCTTTCGGTTTCGCCACCAGATGGGATCAAAGCGGGCCGATATCTTTCCTTTTAGCGTGGGCAAGTCTCTTCCGAGGGGGCTCTGCGGCTCGTTGAAGCCTCTCGGTGGGCTCGCCGTGTTTTCCGGGGCGGTCCTGGACGGCCCAGAGGTTGTCTCAGGGGCTCTCTTAGGCGACCCAGGTTCGGTCTCAGAAGTGCCATGCAAGCTTCCACGACCGTTCTCGGATGCGCCATTAGCCCCCCCTCCCCCCCCAATTGCAGATGAGCAGAAGTTCCATGCATGTCAGGCCGCGTTCCTCGTGTGAGCAAATATGCAGCCCTCCCTCGTGGTGTTTTGGGTGAGCGCTCCTCAGGGTGCTCGTATTATGGTCTAGGTAGTCAGTCCCCCACAACTCCAAGAGTCGTTCTGCATGCGACGCCCTTCCCTGTGCTCGCTGTGCCCCTGATGCCTCTCGGGAGCTCTTCCGTGCTTGAGGACGCTTCTTGTGCTCACAGTGCCCTGGGCCGCGCCTCTGCACTCCTCATCGCCCGTGCGCCCGAGCGGCCCACACGCCCGCCAGACGCTGTCGAGGAAGGCCGCCCTGCTGATCTACCTGGGCGGCATGTCCGTCTGCGTCTCTCTCCTGCGCCCCGGGCCGCTGGCAAAGCTGGGCCGGCGGGGGCGGGCGCTGGGGAGCGGCGGACCGCAGTCTGGAGGATCAGCTTCCGCAGGGGGAGATCCTGGAGGCCTCTTCCTCCTCCCCGTCCCCCTTTTCCCTCTCTCCACTCCGCCTTCCCCCCTCTCGCCGTCTGCTTCCAGCCCGTGGAGGAATCTTGGAGGTCTCCCCCCCGTCCCCTCTTTCCCTCTCTCTGTTCCCCCTTCGCCCCCTGTCGCCGTCTGTCTGCCCCTCCCCGTCCCCTTTTCCCTCCTCCTCCTGCTCCTACTCCTCCTTCTCCTTCTCCTCCTCCCATTCCTTTTTTTTTTTTTTTTGGGGTGGGGGGGTCTCTCTCTCTCTCTCTCTCCCTCCTCCCTCTTTTTTCGCCCCCTCTCTCTGTCTCTGTCTCTGTCTCTGTCTCTGTCTCTGTCTCGGTCTCTGTCTCTGTCTCGGTCTCTGTCTCTGTCTCTGTCTCTGTCTCTGTCTCTGTCTCTGTCTCTGTCTCTGTCTCTGTCTCTGTCTCTCTCTCTCTCTCTCTCCCCCTTCTCCCCCCTCTCGCCGTGTCTCTCCCCCTCTTCTCTCCCTCCTGGCCCAGGGGCGGCCCGACGGCGCCCCATATCCTCCCCCAGCCCCGCTCGCATTCGCCATAGGGGCCCCGTCCGCGCCCCTGTGGCTCTTGGCCTCCCGTGGCCTCCCGGCTGCTTGCCGCCCCGGTGGCCTCGGGTGTTCCTGTGGCTTGGCCTCACGTAGCTCCACGTATTGCTCTAATAATCGGTCGCTGTGGGCTTCACGCGGTGGCATCATCACCCAACTCTGATTGCCTCTGCGGGCTTCCCAGAGGATCGGCTCGTTGCGCCCGAGCCTTGTCCGCTGCCGAGAAGGTCTTGCCAATGCGACTCCGATGTCGAGTCTGTGGTGCAGCAGGCGCCTCTTTCTGGTTGAAGTGCGGTCGCCTGACCGCGGCCCCGGCAGTGCTGGGCTCGGCCGCTACCAGCACACAGCAACAGCCACAGCGGCGGCAACAGCATCATCGCTTGCTCCCTCCCCTCGGGGGCAACGTTCGACCCCACTGATCGCCAATCATAGGGGTCCGACGGCCCACCCGCTCAGGAGCGTGCGCTTTCGCTATCGAGGGCCTATCGCCGTTCTGTCGGCGATCTATCGCCTATCGCCGATTCCAGGTCGATGTTCTCCCCCCCCCCCCCCGCGCTGGTCCCCTCTGACGCTCCCCCTCGGTCCCTGGCCCCTCGCTTCGTTCGCTTTTCGGGCCCTCGTTCCGGTCCCCACTCGTCGCGCTGTGCGACTGCAGTGCAGGGGAGTTGGAGCCTGGCGCCAACCCGCGGCCGAACAAGACGCTCCCCCCCCCCCCTCGTCCCCTGCTCCTGCTCCGGCAGGGCGCGCCCGCGGGGTGCGCCACCGCTGCGGGGCTGCCGGTGGCCCGGCCCCACGCGCGCGGGGCCGAGGTGCTCCTGCCTCGCCTTCGCGCCCCGGGCGGACGAGGCGCGGGGAGCGGGGCCGCCGGGGGCCGCCGTCTGTCGTTGCCCCTCGAGGGGGGAGCGGGGAGGGGAGGGGAAGGAGGTGGAGTGGGGATTCGGCTCGGAGGAGGGGAGGTTGGGGTGGAGGTGGGGGGCAGCGGAGAAGGCGAGGCAGGGGAGGGGATGCAGGGGGTGGAGGGGGGGAGAGGGAGGGCGGGGGGCGGCAGGGGCGAGATCGCGTAATTGTTGAACGCCGCCCTGTTATAACGAGAAGCGCCTGCAGCGAATGCTTGCAACTGCCCATCATGATGGACAGTGTTTTTCACGGAGCTCATCTGCAGGAGGGAGGGGCTGAGGAGTAGCGCACGCAGCGCGGCAGGTGCAGGCGGTGATGCCGCATCACGGCGTGATCATGACTTTCAGTAGTGCCGCCGTCTCTGGCACGAAGGATGGCTTTCCCTCCCCTGTCCTTACCTCCCCCTGAGCATCTCTGCCATCGTCCCCCCCCCTCCCACTCTCCGTCGCGCTCCCCATCCCCATCTCCGTCTCTGTCCCGTCTTGTCCCGTCTCCGCTGCTCCATTTCCTCTCCCCTCCCCTTCACTCTGACTTACTGTAGCTCATCATGAATACAACTCCCTTCTCTTTCCTGACCGCGCTCGCTCTTACGTTCGCCATTCCCGCACATGATATTTATTATGCACGCTTGATTTCTCATACCGCAGACGGTTCGTTTGTTTCTTTGTTTGCTTGCTTGCTTGTTGGTTTCTTTGTTTATTTGTTTGTGTGCCTGTTGAACTGTTGTGTGTTGTTTTGTTGAGTTTTAGTAAATATGCTCCTCTCCGCCTCATTGTACACTTGCCTCTCCTGCTGCCTGCCTTGCCACACCTTGACATTGGTATTATTGTATACCGAAGCTGTATCATACTGCTCGAGTGTGAAAAGGAGCGCGCCGGGGCGCGCGGGCGGCTCGCGTCGTCGTCTGTCTCTGGCCGGCCTCGTCACACCCTATACTTGAGTACAGTTGCTTAACGGATAACCTACAGTTTCATCGATGTCTCATTCCGTATCCTCTACCACTGAGCATAGTCAACATGAGACCTTAACTCCTTTGGCAGCATACCCCGATTTTCAGAGGAAAGACTGGTTATCAGCCCAAACCCGCGACCAAGTCGCAATAGGGATGAGCTATGACGAGATAACCGAATTGCCCGCTGGATCACGCGGTGTGTATCGAGACGGGCAAGAACATCAGGACAGCGGCCCGGGGGAGGGCCGCTCTCTTTCTTCTTCTAATCCCATTCGGATTTCTCGTGGAAGGGGCGCGGGAGAAGCCATAGATTTGTCAGCAGATGATTCCCCCACTCGTATTCCGATCAGGGATCGTGAACAGACCCCATACCCGAAAAGGCGGGACGGCACAGCCGTAAATGCCAGGCGAAGAGCCTTTTCATCTTGGATTGCTGAATCCTCAGAAACAATACATTCCAGCCCGATTGCCGTGCGTTCAATCGAGCCGGCCGCTGGCCCAGCCAGTGGGTCGCAAGACGTAAAGGAGTCCGGCGGTGCGGTCCCCGCCGTCCCAGACGGTTGGGGTCGTACGCACGAGACTCACCCCATCCCGATAGCCTTGAACGGGCAACCCGGTCAAGACAGCGACGAACAGCTTGATGACGAAGACGATATCAGCTCCATGGAGGCAGACATAGAGTATGCCAATTATCAAGTGTCACCAAGACGAGTTTTGTCGCTGAGGAACGCTGCTGACCACCCCGTCCAAGACGGAAGGTCATCCCCTGGGCAAGAAACCGTTGACTACGATCACCTGGAAGCCCTTGGGAAGGCGCTCGCAGAACCAGATTTAGACACCACGATCAGCGACCTACCGCCCCAGGCGGCGGAGGTAGAAATGAGTTCCCAATTTCATGTGAAGCATGACCGGGAGACCACGGGTCGAACGCCGGCTCCTCAACATAAGAAGCACAAGAACGAATATTATGATCTGAATGCTTCCCCGCTTCAGGAGGGGTTCTATCGGGCTGCCGTCGCCCCAGGCGATTGGCAACCGTCCGTGCCCGCGGTAGTTGAGGACAATGATATGTTCGACCCCCCAGCAACGCTCACTGAGTTGGTCGAACAGGATGAACGGGATGAGGAGCGTCGAGAGGTGGCCAAGCCACCGGAGAGCACGCACGTGTGCCCTCGATCGTCAGCTTCGAGCAGGGGAAGGCCCAAGATGCCACGATCTGGTGCCCGGTCGACTTCGAGGAGTAACAGTGCCATATCCATGCGTGAGGCATGCTGGAACCGAGGCCCCGACTGCCCGCCACAGGCGGAGAACAGGTGCCCGGGGAAAGCTCACAAACAGGACGGACCCTGCAAGCGTCCAGTGTGTGGATGCTGTTCTGACGTGTGTCCTAATTGCGGCAATCACTGGTTGTGTGGGGATTGCGTTCAGATGGAAGAACATAACTGCCAATGCCTTTTCATTCAAGCTATGCAGGACCAGGCCAGATTCGTTGAGGCCAAGGGACAGCAAGAAACCGTGATCCTGGAAGCTCAGAGGGCCGAACAGGCTCGACCGGATCGAGAAGAAATGAACGCAGTTATTGCCGATGTTCGGAAGAGGTTCGAGGCCGATAGAGTCGCCATGGCCCAAGCTGCCAGTCGGCGGGAACAAGAGTTGATGGAGCAAATGTCTTATCAGACCGCGTCTGCTCAGCAGCGTCCGGAAGAAGAAGCCGAGAACAGGATTGTTGAGGCGAGATCTTCTGAGCGACAGGCTGCCCTGGTGGCAAACAGACAATCTGTCGATGCCAAGTCCGCCTGCGCCGCTGTTGCGGTGGCGAGAATGGAAGGACATGCTCCAAGACCAACTTCGTGCTGCCAGGCTAGAAGTGGCCGATGCGCAGATTGTAGCTGCGACGATTGTTGATCAGAACAATCAGTGCCGAGAAGAGCTCAAGTTGCATGAAAATATTAGAGCATCACTTCAGCGAGTGCAATTAGGTGACGAGGTGTGCCTGCCGGCCAAGCCGGCGGGGGCGAGCGGGCGACCGTCGCCGGCGGCCCAGCCGTCTGGTGCGACGTCGTCGCAGGCCCGGCCTGGCTCGGCGCCCCCAGGAGGCGGAATGCCGCCAATGTTGCGCGTAAGAGCTGCTCAGAAGCCGCAGTCTTCGAAAGGGGGCGCCGAAGAGAATTGTTCAATATGCTCGAGTCCGAAGATCGAAACATGCGCTACTTGCGGATTGCCAAGCTGTAAGGACCACTTTGACACGGGCGCCAGACGTTGCGTCACTTGTACTCAACGAAAGAGCCTGCCCGTGGAACAGGCGGAGTGGGATGGGCAATGGCAGCGACATAGCGCTGATCCCAATTTTCGGGCCCAACAGCAGAAGCTCCTCGATGATTTTTACGCTGATAAACGTAATGTGCAACGGATGAAGGAGCAAGCTGAGGAACAGCTTCGACTGAGCTCAGAAAGGTCAGCTGCCAACCTTCGAGAAAGATGAAGCATTGGCACGCGCAGCTGCATCAGAGAAAGAAGTGATTGAGTTCAAGGCTGTCATCACTGAATCCTTGAAAGAAAAATGGCAAAATGTGCAGTCTCAATTGCAATCTGCTGACCGTGAGGCGGCCATGATCGAAAGGGCTCAAGAGATGACGAGTACTATGGGAATGGAATACGTTCAATAGATCGAGAAAGAATTGGACAAGTTGCCCAGGTTCCGTCTGTTCGATATGCCCCAGCTTTCACAGGGGACGCCCGTGAGGCCAATCATGCAATCCCTTCATTCTGTCCCTGGCCCTGCAACCGAAGGTCCAGCCAAGCCTGGCATCTCCGGGAACAATGTACCCATCAATGCGGAGTTGGCAGGTATTGCTGATGACATGACCTTCATTAACTATTACCCTTTCACCAAGGCGGGGCCAGCGAGACCAACGACGGCCCAGCCGTCTGGTGGAGGTAAGGGTCATGCGCCAGCGGCCACGCCGCCTGGCGGGGCAGGGCAAGACAATGATGGGGATGATCATCGTACCGCACCAAGTACCGAGATCTTGTCAGCACTCGCCAATGCCATTCGAGACCAGTCGGAGAAGCCGCCCCCAGGGGGTCCGGGGGGTTCTGGATCCCCAGGAGGTGGAGGCGGTCGTGGCGGACCTCAGGGCCCAGGAGGGCCAAATGACCCGGGAGGTCTTGACGAGAGCACCCCTTTGGATCAGTGGAGACAGGTTGGGAACAACCAGAAGGTCGATCTGATGGACATTCCCGATGTTACAAACATGCGGGAGTGGCAGATGCATGCGGTTCGTGCTGTTGCTGGATCGTCTCCTGAGATTCGGGAAGCGCAGCTCTGGATCTGTGACTAAAGAACAGCTCAGACATCCGGGTCGCTTCCAACGTCTAGATATCATGATCGCCACTAACCTGATCAAGAAATTTAATAAACTGCGTCGGAATCGCAGTCTTTCCACTCATCACATTCACTTCCCCCAACAGATCAATCGCATGGAATGCGGCGCCCAGAATGAGAAGAGACCCTTAACAGGGCGCGAAATGAAACGAGCCATCTGCCATTGGTGTTCAGTCAGATCGGAGTTAGGTCAACATCGCATTTCGCTTGACATCTTCAAGGTAGTTATTGATCCCAATCGCCCAGATGCTGATTTATACCATTTCTATAATGAGTGGACAGATGTGTATTAGCAACTCTACGGCGTGCGACCCCCGTCTGATGAGATGCGAGCTTCGATCCGTGCACACTTCATTGAGCAATGCAGGAAGCCGAAGAAATTGGAGCTAATCTGCCAGCTTTATGATTTGTCCACGGACAAGCTAGGAGAAGGCATGAAAACCTATGAGTGGCTCATAACCCAGATTGAACGGATGATGTTGCGTGAGAAGGAAGAATGGAAGATGCATTTGCATGAGGGTACTTTGAATCAACGTGCTCGACAGACGCGCTTGGGCGGCGGCGGGGGCAACGGCGACGACAACCGCCGAGGCCTCAACGGCGAAGCCGCTGCGGCAGAAGTGGCAGCGCGTCTTGGGAAATCCACGGACGTTAAGAAGAATGGAGTGACGAAGGGCGAGACGACGTGCAACTTTGTGCGTAGGGGCGAGACCTGCCCGCATGCAGGTCAGGGTTGCCCGTTTAATCATAAGAAGCCCAAAGCCGCCGCTGCGGCCCAGCCGGTTGCGGGGGCTAAATCGAATGCTGCCCCGGCTCCGAATGCGAGTTCCAGAGGGGGGTCTGAGAAACCCAAAGGCGGAGGCCGAAAGGCACAGAGCCGCTCGCAGACCCCAGCGGGTGGCCGTGGAAAGGGTGCGCAGCAACGGAATAGGGGCCAATCCGATCGTTCGCGCGGAAAACAGAGCAAGTTGCCGTGTTACCCTTATTCGCGTGATCCTAAGGACTGCCGTGGACCCCCAGACGGTTGCTACAGGCAACG